TTTTTAACTTTTTTGCCTACATAGTTTTTGGGCCGCAGAATGATAGTGCAACCTCCATGCTAACTCCTGACATGTCTTACATCCTATATTCAAGGTGAATAGGTTAGGCAAGGTTAGGCACCCCACTGACATGTGGCAGATTAAGTTTCAAGGCAACTGCTCTTCTAAATATATTACACAGGGAAACAAGGAAAACTGGTTTGTCTCCCAAGAGCAAGATACCTAAATTAGTCAGGCTAAATCAGTGTCCAAGTGACATTTTCAGGGAAGATTTCTCTTGAAAGATCAAGTAGAAAAGAAACAAAACCTGTATAACTGTAATTTTAACTTTATCTTGATCCAAGCTGTGCCTTTATGACCAAAAACCTCCCATAAAACCAGCCAATTAATTTTTTTTTTTCTTGGTTAAGTATTAAATCTTTCAAGTGATCATGACCTTGAAACACTGTCTGTTCTTCTACATGATACCATAACGAGGCAAGTCATAAATCTGAATGGTACTGGGCATCCAGCTGACATGCCTGAGTGATCAACCAGGAAAACAACATCAGTCTGTGGCTGCTAGTCAAGGAAAGAACTGTAGGAAGTTTTTCACCTGAAAAAGTAGATTTCCTGGAGTCAGCCCCAGGAAGGGCTATGTTACTTGCTCTTTGGGAATGGAGGCAGATCAGGATCCATGTGTAGGTGCTTGCATACACTGGCATTGTTAGCAAATCCTTACGTAGATTGGAAGACAGTGAGATGAGTGAGGAATCACTGAGGTAACCTGTGTTCCTTGAGTTCCAACTAATTTATTTTTGGACAGCAATTTTCCCAATTAGTGAGGACAACTTAAGTGTGGATTTCTAGCTTACTAATGTATACTTCACGCCAGCTCAGACTCTTAGCATAAGGTGGTTCATGTTATCACTTGCCTCTGATATTAGCAGACTCAAAGTTTGAATCTGCTATTGCTGCAATTGTCCAACTGCTTCTCCAAAAATTGGAAAATCTGGAGATCTGCAGTGTGAATCTGTAGCCTTATATCGTTCACAGCCTGGTGGACTGAAGGGATTCATTGTTCTGATGTGGGCAGGAGGAACTGCTTAAATCCAATGAGCAAAAACAAAGGGACTTTCAGTGCCTCATATTTCCTCTCCAGGATCTGTGCAAAGTAAATAAAGGAACTAAGTCTTCTGCAGTGAGTGCTCAGGATGAGAGCAATCTTCACTATAGTCCAGTGCTTTCAACTGCCACCCGTGTCAATTCAGGTAGTTACTCAGAGAAAATTGGAGGCAAATAAACATGAGTTCTTGCATACCATAGCTCTCTGCTGAGAGAGCTCACTGATAAAATTTGTCTCTCTTAGGTTCAGATGCAGACTAATTATTTTAAAATAATTGCTCCCACTCCTTTGAGACTCATTGAGAACGCACGCAATGCCTCTGCTACATCAGGTGGGCACAAACTCTTACTCTGCGCAGGGGGAGGTCACCTACCTGCATTGCTGAGCTTCTAAGCACTGACAGCCAGGGCAGGGCACCTCAGTGTACAACAGGACATTTTCTTTGAAGGATTTTGTTAGCTGGACTTTTTTTTTTTTTTTTTTTTCTGAAAATCCTCAAAAATAAATGTGTGAAGGCTACGTTATTAATCATTAAAGCTTAGAGATATACTGGTATGGGAAAACGCTGATTACAATCTTCTAATTGTCAGATGCAAATCTGCCACTCTCCACTGAGGAAGTATCACTCGATTCAATCACTTGCCTGCTCTTTGTCTCAGCTGAGTAAGATGATCAGTATTCTCAAGCTACCAACTGGACTGGAAACAAATAGAGCAGCAGATATTCCGGTTCTAGTTGGTAGACAATTGTAGGCAAATTGACCCAATTCTCTTCATTTATATGTTCCATAATAAATAACAACTGTAACATTAAAGTAGTAGCAAGGAACAATAGCAAAATTCACAATTACAATAACAGCGGTCTGTGCAGCAAAACCCATTTTAAATGGCAGCGCCTCACCTCCCCATGAGTGGTATTAAAGCAGTTTTTTTTAAGATCAGCTGACATAATAAGGGCATCAGCAGTGCCTGGGATAGGACCCAGGATGTTGATTGTCTATTTTCTTTTATAAGCATAGTTCACATTGATTTTGCAACTGAGTCACTGCAAAAATATATTGCTTTAGAAGGCAGATGAGGCCAAAATTACAGAGAAATTAACCAAAAGCTTTTTATTCTCAGGGCTTGGAATCGATCAGGGGCGCTGATAATCCATTAAGCTGCATTCAGTGCATCTCTTTTAGAAAGATGGAGAAAATGAACTTCTGACCATAGAGAACAGAGATGAGATGGGGAAGACATGCTGGGAGGATCAGGTCCAGCTCTGGCACAGTGAGGCCCAAGCAGGGGTTACAAGGTGACCCCAACGCTTTCCCTACATCAGTCTCTGTCATGTAGGTCTGTGCAGCTCCATCCCTGTGCTTCTTATCCGACTCTTTCAGAGATTTCCTCCAAGGGTTTTCTTAGCACAAGATCTGTGTTCTTCTGAAATTTCTCATATGTTTTCAGGGTTTTCGTAAGAACATGTGGCCAGCATTTTCTATGGAGTGGCCCTCAGGCCAGGGTGAATTTTACCTTCCAAGAATTGGGGGTTTTAACTGACACAATCCAAAGATCATGTCAAAGAACTTTTTTTTTGCCCTGCTGTCAGTGACATTTGCAAGTGATGGAAAACTATCCATATGGCTTAGCAGACTAATTCCACTCCCCCACAAGTAGTGACTTAGAGGAAGAAAGAAATATGCATCCTGATCATCTGTTTTGTAACAGGATATTTATCTCAAGCTTTCAAGAATTTCATTATTATTGAGGAGGAGGGGAACGGGCACTAAGGCAGAATCTGTAATAGATTATTGATGCTGGGATGTGAGTAGGTATTAGGGCAGGAAACCTGCCTGAGCCCTGCTGTTACCCACAGAGAGGGGCTGTGGGCCCATGATAACACAGGGAAGAGGAAGAGGAAGAAGAAGAGGCATTCTTACCATAGTCAGTTTGGAGTCCAAGAAGAATAAATGAGTTTTGAAAAAGTCTGAGGTTCCTAAGAAAAGGAGGGAGGGGAACATCTCTAATGAGTAGGAAGAGAGGACTGTTTAGGATGGAGACCAGGGACAAGGCTGTAAATCCATTTCTGCAGACACATCTGGGAAAGTTCACTCTGTTGTGCTGCATAGAGATTGAGTCTCAGCTCTGTGCCTCTAGTCCAGTTAAAGCAAACGGCTTAACTGACCCGCACCATCCCAGTGTCTGTGGCCATCTGGAAATAACCTCATTTGAACTTCGGTTCTGAACTAAGGTACATTAAAATTACAAAGCTCTTTGCTTCCAGTCTGGACTTCCAGGGTTGGTATTAATAGCTTTGGTGAACTGTAGTCCATTGATTTAAAGCACCTGTGCTTCTGCAAGTCAGGACTTCATCAATTTTTTTATCACTTACACAGGAAGAGTGCTGGGCTTAATGCTATTTATCCAGCTGGACATATTGACTTTGACTTAGGAGATCAAAGCATTTGGGTTAGGGATTGTGTAACATCTTCGTATAAGAACTGTCAGGGGTAAATTTACCAAAGGCTGAAGCTTTGATTGATGATCATTTTGCAGGAGTGTTCAGCATAAGGAAGTACATAATAGACTGTTTCTTTTGATGGACCTGCAAGCCACAACACCTTTAAATATACATATTTTGAAACACATTTCATCACCTCCTGGAACATAACAGCACACAAAAGAACTCTGGAAGGCACCTTTGAAAGTGAGTTTTCCTGATGTGAATAGATGCCCACAAAGAGGTGGCCCAAGACCCCTTAGGATGTGGGAGCCAGTAAGGAGAATGCATTAGTTGTCTTTTTTTATTATTTGCTGTTTGTAATAGCAGTACTCCCCAGCGGATAGGAGGCTGGAAAATGCGAGCTCCAGAGCTCACACTTTTTTCAGTTCTCTGTTTCTCAGTTCTCTGCTCCAGAGCAGCAACACAAGCTGGCATACAGAGTGAGACCTTCCTCTTGGGAGAGGTGAAAGAGACTGGACTTCTAGTCCCAGCTTAGGGAAAGGCATGCCACCTTCTGTGGAATTATTTTCCCCATCTATTAATACATGAAGGGTGCGAAATATGCTTGTTAAACACTCAAACATTTTTTTTATCACGAATCATTGATTGTTTACTCACATCTAACTCTTAAAATGCATGTTACTGGCCACCAGCTTGGAAGTGGGACTAGCTAAGAGGTGCTAGCTGCCCTCCCATGATCAAGAATATTTTCTACCAAAAGGCTAATTTTCTATCTCTGTTCCAAAGTAAGCCATGCAGGATACCTGTCACAGCCTTACTGTAATTTAAAAAACAGCAATCCCCTCATCACAGGAGGTGTTGGCTACATGGATGCACTCTTGTTAGTTGCCCTTGCTACAGTTATAGGAGGCATGTACAGAATTAAAACAAATGGAATATGGCAGAGAATTGTCTGAGCTTTTCTCTCAGCATTAAATTTAAAGCCAACAAGCTATATAGGATTAAACTAGCATTATTACTGGCCATTCATGGGTTTTAGAGCCACGTAGAACACTGTCTCCATCCCTGGAGGTATTCAAGAAATGTTTAGATGTTATACTGAGGAACATAGTTAAGTGGGAAATATTGGTGATAGGTAAATGGTTGGACTGGATGATCTTGGAGGTCTTTTCCAGCCTTGGTGATTCTGTGATTGTATGATTGTTGCCATGTGCTTCTTTCAGCAAGGTGCTCTGAGTGCAGACCCTGCCCAGCAGCACTGTTCTGGCTGGTCCCCTCCCAACATCTGCAGCCAGTCTGCTCCCACCCACAGAGGAAAGGGCACTGTCAACGGTGGAAAAGGGGCTGGCTGCTGCCGCCACTCTGTCTGCAACTCATTGCCTGAGTGTGCCACAGTGGCTTTTCCTTTCTTTACTTTCTTCCTCTTTTTTTTTTTTTTTTAGCTGCAAACAAACAAACACAACCTACATAAATGGGGTGCGGACTACGTGGCTCAAGGACTCAGGATGATTAAAAGCAGGAGCCACACGGAGACATCCAGAAATGATTGTTTTTAACAAGACAGGAACTTTGTCTGAAAACAGGATGACCTGCTACAAAAGATGCCAGCAAATCCCCGTAGAGCTTTAGAAAAAACAAGCAGGCGCCTGAGTGTGCTTTAAAAAAAAAAAATCCTGCCTGGTAATAAAAAGGCATGCAAGGGTAAACAGGAAAAGAGCACTCCACACTGCAAGCAGCCCAGAGGAGGAAAGGCTGGGAAGAGCGCTGATCTGAAAACCTGATATGGAAACTGAAGGGAACAATTTCTTCATATCCCTGGTATAAACTCCCTGTGCAAACACAATGTTGGGGCAGCTGTGAGCAGCGCTTCCCTACTGGTTTCACTGTGCCTTCCTTCCAGTCCTTTCCAGTGAAGGCTGTGGGACAGCAACAGGCGCTCCACAGGTGGTGTCGGTTTGCTTCAGTGGCCTCAAAGCAATGTCATTTCAGACTTCCACGAAAGAGCTTTTTCCTAGTGCAAAACTTTATTTCCTGAAGGTAAAATGACTGTAGTTCAGCCCACCTGTGCTTCATTCACACAGCTCTCTCTCCCAGTTTTAGCATGAATCTCTTGACATCTGTTGTGTTTTCCGCTAAACGTTGGCTCCGTAAGTCTTGCTGAATTTTAAAATCAAATGCTGATTTGAAGAATTAGGATACTGATAGACTTCATCATGCTGACAACCCCTGCTTGTTGGCAGAATCTGCAGACTCAGCTCCTAAGCAGTTTTCCCATCACAGCCTGCCTGCCACCAGCTAGAGACCCATGACAGCAGCCATCATGGTACATACTGCGAACTCCTGTGCAGCAGCGATCCCCTTTGTTGTGCTCCAAAGTCAAGCACTGCCTCAGCCCTGAAATTACAGCCTGTCACAGCCTATGCTAACATGTGGCCAGAAGCAGCTTCTGCAGCAGCCGTACAACCCACGACTGGAAAAGGTCCAGCCCTCAGACACAAAAGGGCAGACCAGCGGTGTGGCTTCCTGCCGCTGCGTGGCGGCAGTTGGCCCTGCGGTGGCTCCTCCTGAAGGAGGGTCCTGAAGAAATGCTGCAGTCCCAACGACTTCCAGAGCCTCACAGGAATCAACGTGAGTTTCAGAGAAGCTTCTGGATCCCTTTCCTCAGGAGCAGCCCTAAATTCCTGGCAACACGTGTCATGTGCTGCCTTTGTCTCCTGTGGGGCCCTGTGTCCTTCAGTGTGTGGCTGCCACTGGTGCCAGGCGGTGCCCAGAGGGGCACTGGTGCTCCTAGGAGGGGAAGAGGGGAGGAAGGCTAATGTGCATGAGCTCTTCAGATGATGGAAAAGACATAAGCCTCCACCCTTTTCTGGGAATTGCCTGAAGACTGAGGAGGAGCTGCTTGTCCTTAGCCATGGCCAGCTGCTCCAGAGCTCCCAGCCTGCTGGTGGCTTCTGAGGAAGATGGGATGTGGCTGTGTGGGTCAGGTATCTCCATTTAGTGTACTCCAGATCAGAGTCCATTTTCCCTAAGTAAGCAAGGAAAAGGCGGAAACCTGTACTTTCCCTTTCTGAAGATGTCAGCATGTCTCTGCCCCAAGGCTCTGTCCCCTGTAGGAGTAATGCCTTCTGCACATGGGACCTCTCATAGTCACACTGCACAGGGCACCCCCTGTCCCAGGGGAGAGCTGGGTTCAGGCTTTCTCAGGTAGCTCCATACTCTGGGCATGGGTTTCTATAGTCACTGCTTCAGTATAAAATAGACTTGCATTTTCTTCTTTCCTGTATTATCAGTGAAGGGTGATTCACCACTCTTAATGTACGTGATTTCCCATAGAACGTATTACTGATCATTTTCCATGGCCTGCAGCACCTTTAAGCACTGTACTACTTAACAATAATAATTATAAAATCGATACAATGATTGGGGAAATTTCCAATTTCCATGAAGTGAAATTAAAACTAAATGAATTTTTATTACACTCAAGATGGATAGCAATGTCAGCTGCTTTGTCCATTGGTTTCATAATGATCAGTCTCACATGCATGATCAATAGAATGTGACACTAGTATCTAAAGCAGCATGCTTTGTTTTGCATATATATCTTCCAAACTACCCATGCATGTAGAACACAAAACCTCTTTGCTAATGTGTATGTGAACATTCCTATGAAAGGATCCAGAGAACTTTATTCTTACAAGATGTCTGTGTCTTCTTTGGACAAGGAAAAACATAATTTCATAGAATCATAGAATCATAAGGTTGGAAACGACCTGTAAGATCATTTAGTCCAACCGTCTTCTCATTACCACTGCTACCACAAAGCTACTAAACCATATCTCACAGCTCCTCATCCAGACGCCTCTTGAACACTGCCAGGGACATCAACTCCACAACCTCTCTGGGCAGGCCATTCCAGTGCCTGACCACTCCCTGAGAGAAAAAGTTTTTCCTCATGTCTAAACGTGCATTGGTCTAAAAAAATGTAATTCTAAGTAAACATGTCAAGGTGGTGATGACTTGATTTTAAGAAGATCGTAAAGTAAGTGCAGAAGATATGTAAATATATCACTGGAGGGGAAAAGAAATTCACTAAAATGAATTCAAATTGGGTGAGACATCTCAGGTCTCCAATTCATCTCACAAATTGCCAAATGAGCAGAATAGAAACAGCATCACTGAGGATCTAGCATGGAAGAAAACATTGCATTTATGTTTAAAAAATGACAAGTTTAGGGCAGTTGCTTATATTTCTGCAATGTTTTTTTCCCCCATCACTTTAGAAAAAATAAAAGGTATTAGCTTCTGTTTGTTACTTTTTATTAGAATGGTAGAACCTATGAGCCTTTTTGTGTATGTGTTAGTGGACATTTAACTCCCATCAATTACTCGTTCACCCCAGACTCTCGTGAAGGAGTCATGGAGGATTGATGCCCGTAGTGCAGGACAACTTATTCTTTAATAATGGGTGATGAGGTCATGTGCTATTTTGGTTCTGCCTAGCGGGATCTCTAGCTTGGCCAAGCACTGCTCCCTCAGCAGCTGCCATCTCTGTGCCCTGCACATGCCTGGAAACACACACTTTCTTCACAGACAAAAAAGGCCATTCATATCAGCTGTTTTGCTGTAAAAAGCTCCTTGTTCGGAGCAGTAGAGGCATGGCCTCTTTGCAATGCCACTAGCTCTTCAGGGAGATACTGTCATCCATTATGGCCTGCACAGGACATGGAAAGGTCCAGCCTGGTGCTGGCATGGAGGGAAAATCCTTGTCTTAACAAATTTGTTCTTTTTTCAGTAATCATCCAGTCACTCAATTGAAAGAAGATACTGGAACATTAGTAGGATAGCTATTGTGTTCTGCAGAGGGACTTCAAGCCAGACAGCACAGGACTAGTTTGATTTTACGCCAGTCGCTTTTGGTGGAGAAAAAAATGCATCTGGGATCCTGCATCTTTAGCTGTCAGTAGTGCAGAAGCAAACCGTAGCAGAGCTTGTGCCAAACGCGTGCTGAGGAGCTCTGAGTTAGGAGGGATGATGTTCCAAAGAGATTGTTTCAATGAAGCTCTTCTTTGTATTTCAAATTGTCACAGACTTTTTTTCTTTTTTTTTTTGTTTCTTATTTCAGCTATTATTTTGCATCATCCTTGCCATATGGAAGAAAAGAATGATGCTGTTCTGATCTGCTGCCATAAAGATATGAAATGTTATTTGTGTGATCTTCAGAGCAGATTAGAACTGGAAATTTCCACTTTAGTGGGATTTTTAGCATGTTGAAATTAGTTTTCTTTTCAATATAGACAAGCTACAGTAGTGTCAAGTTCTTCTAAATTTAAGAGATTCTCTCCCAGTCAGATTTGTAAAATACATACAGGTTTCATTAAATTCTACAAACAGTGCTTTGGAGGAAGGTGTTCTACCATCTAAATTCTTAAAATATTCTGTGGCAGAGGACTCTCAGAGACCATCAGCACCGGTCTTCTTCTCCCTCTTGATCGCTGACATTTGGGAATAGAACATAAAAAAGTGCTTTCGGCCAATCCAACATTAAAGCACACTAGTGCATTGAATTAAAAAAAAGAAATACTGTGAAGGTGTTGGCTACAGGGAAAGGGTTAGCATCTCTCCAGTGATATGTGTCATCTCTGATCTGCTGTTCTGGAGCAGCAATACATGACAGTGGAACAGTCAATGTACGGGTTACTACACTAAGTGTCTGTTTTCCTAACATTACAAGATAACATATGGATTTCCTTTACAGGAGGCTGGATACTCGTGGTGATGGAAATATTAGAGACAGCGCAGGTGCAACTGCTTCTGATTTTCACAGTGGGTTTAGGTATGGCTGCATTACCCTCCCAGCATGCTGGCTGCAGAGGGGACACACACATTGTGATAGCATTAGTGCTGTAGGGCTCGGAGAAGAGCCAGTCAAGGTGTAGGGCTGAGGCATCAACAGACATCTGGGTTTCACTGTTCTGTTGCAGGCACTTTCACTGTCAGGAGAGATTCACATCCCAGTCAGTTTTACATAGAGCTGATGGTGTTGGGCTCAGCTTTGAAGACATTCTGCTTCATGACTTGACCATCTCTGGTGACAGCACAAGCGTTTTTGCATGGTGCTTCCTCCCAGCTAGCCAGTCCTGTTGGGCTGGAGTGAGCTGCAGGAACCATTGTCCCCAGGGCACTGTTTGACCCCCTCACACAGCAACAGCCCAGACCCCAGGATGAGAAACAGCCTCAGTGAGAGCAGCTGGCAGCATTACACCTCTGTAAGAATTAGGCAGACAACTCTGTTGCTCTTACAAGGGTGCTTCTTCTTTTTATTTTTTTTTTAGAGGGGGGGGTTGGATTTTGTATTAAGGAGTTTATGTACTGTGGCTTGGAGTGTGCCGAGTGTGCCAGTCCAGTTCTTAATGGGGGCAGCTTCTTGCCCTCTTCCTTCTTCATTCCTTAATCTGACATCAGCAGTACCAGATGGAAAGATGCAAAGCAGACTGTGAGAAGATTTATTAGACTACAAAAACAATGCACCAAAAGCAAAAAACAACAAGCAGCTAGCATAGGATTGCCTGCACTTGCGTTTTGAGTGCTTACAGTTTCACAAAACCAGTTTCTGAGGCATTCGATATGCAAAATGCACCTTATGGCCTTTCCTGGTATGAAAATCAGAACATTTTCTAAATTTCTTGGCTCCGTAGATGGTAAGTTGCTGTTAACTAGACAAAGTGATGTCATAAGTGGGAAGTGATAAATGAGGAGACAATGACAGCGCTTGGGCATGTAGATGAATGGGTTTCCACTACAGAGAAGGGTCAAATGTATCTTGTTCAGTCCAAAATGGCACCTAAGTTGTTGCTGTCCAATGTCACCACTGTGTAAAATAAAGCTCAGCTGACTACTAGTACAAAGTCTGCAGCCTTTTTCCCATAGTCTGAATCTATACATTGCAGCTCTGGGCTAAATCATACGTATCAGCAGCAAGTGTAAAATTGCAACAGAGCTCAGGAGTGCAAATGACTGGGGAATCATGTGGTAAGGAGATACAAAATGTATTTTTCTTCCCAAACACAAAGGGACTATTTGAATTGGACAGTTTTCCCTGGTGTAAAGACTGTTTCTAACTTCTTTTTCTCATTGCTTTTTAGCATCCTTCCAGTCAGTCTACTAGGAAGAAGGCCGAATCAGCCATGGATGGCATAAGAACAACTGGGGAAGAGGATGAGAAAACTGTGAAAGAGTTGCTGAGGGGACACCTGGGGACACTGGCAGTGTTTCGAGCCAGCTTCTGAAGAAAATCTGGAAAAGTCTGACTGAAGCTGAAGTTGCTGCGTGAGGGGTAGAAGGAAACAAGGGTGCATCCTTTTCCCCACAGTGATGCCATGGTAAAAGATGACCAATAACCATACGGAGAAAGAACATGCAAGAGACCAGCAGAGAAAGTGCTCAGTAAGGGATCGAAAATGCCAGGCCTTCATATGGTCCACTGACAACCTGACCAAGCTGTGTCCTGCAGGTGATGTACAGCCCTGAGCAGGGAACAGCCAGGGCATGCATTTCAAGATCGGGGTATACGAAGCAGTACTTCACCTCCAGGCCTCAGTGGAGGACACAGAGCAGAGACAATGTCATGATGGCATGTAGCAGGCATAGACACGATTTTTCATCATGCTTGTTTACAGTGTGGCAGCTCAACTGGACTTGCTTATTTATGTTGTATTGCAGTGTGCAAGTACTCAGCAAAGAGGAAGATATCCAAAACCAAGGTGATAGTACAGGCTGCAGATCAAGAGCATGGTGAACTAAACAGGCTTTAATATTGCACTGCAGGACAGTAACTCCCATGCTAAATGAAAAAAAAGGTTAAATTTGTAGGCAGCTGGCTTTATATACTCTAGGTAGGCCCACCACCTAGGATATTTATAAACTCACTCAGTGGGTGACTGAGAGCAGATCTGGGCCTGCCCAGGGCAGACTAGCTCTCCAGCATTGCACTGGGGTGTGGTTACTGAGCTCAGTTTGGGTCACCCAACAGCAGTCCAATCTCAGCCAGCCTTGCTGGGCATAGCTCTACATGCCTGTTCTGAATGAAGTGTTCCATTAGACCTGCTGGAGCCTGGGCAGCCTCCACTAGTTGTGGATAATACACAATAAAAAGAATGGGGTAGGCAGGGCATGCAAGGAGAGATTTTATTCTCTTCCATAAAGAATCCAGACTACAGCTAAGCACCTGGAAACATGCTCCTTGGGATCTAAGTGTTGCATCTAAAATGCTATGCTATGACAGAGAGAAGTAGAAAAAAAGATCAGTGACTTTGCAGATGAATGACCATAGTACTAACATGACAAAATGAACTTTTAGGTTGCCAAAATGGCATTATCTAAGCTTTCAAGGGTTGATCAATAAGAATGCAAAATCTCTTTCAAATGATGAGAAGGAGGGGTACTCATCAGGATTAAAGAACAGCTTTTGCTGGACTGGTGTTCCTGGCAGGTTACACCTGCTTCCCACTCCGTGCCTTGCTGCCACTCTGTCTGGAGCAACGTGCTTCTAACAATAGCTGGTGGCTGGAAGGTACAGAGTGTGCTACACAGCTCGCTTCCTCTTCCTCCTGCCTGATTGTTATTGCAGAGCTCCCAGCAAGAAGGGCTCTTTAACACCATTAAGTCACAAGAAACTGTGGCTTTGATAGTCAGAGTCTGATTTAATGCAATACCAAATCATAGAAAAACATTTAAAGAGAGAAGATGCCTTTCTCTGAGTGCTTTGTACTGTAAAGCTTCTGTATATACACATACACTCACATGCACACACATCCTGGAGGTGTGTGTCCAGGAGGGAAATCCTGCCTGCATCGAAGTTAATGACAAATGCTCCCACTGACCTTGAGAGGGCAGGGTTTCAGGCACTGTCTGTGTATGTGGGGGATATTGTGAAAGTGTTCAGGCATGATACGTCTGTATTTTCTTGCTGTGAAGGACTGTGGGAGCCTGAGCATACCAGCAACACACCAAAATACAAATGGAGAGCAAGAGATTGTCCCAGGCAAGCCCCAGGAGTGCTGCCATGCCTTCCTGCACCACGTGTTATCTCCTGCAGCTTTGTCTGCAGGCTGTAGGAGCACCCTATACAGTGACCTTACTCACCACCTGAGTCTTGGTGGAGTCTTGGTTTGCTTGCTTGTTTTTGGCTTGGTGATTTTTTTGTGTGTGATGCTTTCTTGTTTGTCTTTTTAACGTATATTGGGGTTAGTCTAAAAATTGCACAGCTGCTTTCATTACTCTGCTCTCAAAGTAGATAGGATAATTTCTGAGGGCCAATTAGAAGGTCAGCTGACCCTTGAATAAGTAATCATTCAATGATTTCACTCTGCTTGATTTTACCTTCAGTTACGTTTTTAGTGTGGCAGAAGGTCAAGAAATCTACTTTAAAAGTAATTCAGTGGTTATGATCTTCAAAACTCCCATTTTAATGCTGATTGTAATTCTATTCCAGGGTTTTTTCTAAAATCTGTTTTGAATTTGTGCACCACTAAGCATCGTTCAGTGATATTATAGGTGGAAACATAAGATCCCAGAATAATGAACATAAATCTTGTTCTCTTGGAATCCTTTTGTAGATCTACTAAAGGTAATTCACAGACTCACAGTTTAAAGACCTGCTTTAGTTTTTGTAGCTGTAATGTGCCAAACTTGAGTGGCTAATTTCGCATCAGTCACAAAATGCAGTAGGCCAGCCATGTGACTTCCTTAATGTAAAATGCGTTTTGTATTTATGGGTTCTTCCTGTTTGTAACTATCATTTTGTAACAGCTGCATTCTCAGTTTTGCTGCCCTGTGGCACAGCAAACACCACAAAGCAGATCCCCATGTCTGAAAGGCACTTCCTTCCCCCTTCATCTTGACGGCACACATCTGAGCCAAGGTTCCTCTGTGCAGAATGGGGTTTGGTCCCAATATCGGGGCTCTCACTCCTGCTGGAAAGCACTGCACATCCATGGCTGGGATCAGATTTGGGGCAATATGCCAAGTTCTTTTGAGAATTTGGGCCTGGCTGTAAATGTCACAGCTGGTGGCTTCCCACTGCTGAAAATCTGCTGCAATATTATGGATGATGAGCATTTGGAAAATCTGGTGCTGAACACCAGTAGTCAATAGAGTGATGTAAAGGAGAGTGGGACAGGGCCCAGAGCTTCAGCACAGGGAAGCAGGAATACATTCAATGTCATAGACAGTGTCTGTGCAGGATTCCAAAAAGAGCTCAAAGCCAGAGCCTTCCAGTAACACTGGACAAATGCATTCTCACTCCCATGCAGAGCGGTGGCTGCTTGGACATGTTCCATGCTTCACTGAAGAGCTGGCAATATTGCAAATTCCCAAAGAAGAAAAGCTGCTGAACCGCTTTAAAATCATTTTAAAGATGTGTACAGACTCCTTTCAGAAAGTTATGATCATCTATTTTGTGTGTGTGTGTGTGTGAATCTTCCCATTTACTCTTCTTTGCATACACTTTTCCTTCTCCCTTTGGAACACCATTGTATATGGAAACCTGCATAGCACAACAATAAACAGCTGTGGAAAGCAGTCTATAAAGACGTAAGGAGCAGTTGTTGTCACTGTACTAGCAAAGCAGTTTCTATCAAATTTACCTTCAAACCAGGCTCTCAGCTGCTCCCAAGCATATCAAGATGATCCCTGCATGTGTTAGCAATATGCTACAGTGACATACATGTGTTCCTACGTAGCCTATTCCAGCACAGGTTTCTTTGTTCAGAATCACATTATGCATGTGTTTGTTATTCATGTTTCTGCTTCCACAACTTTCCTTTGATGTAAATGTAACACAACTTTTTCATCATTATTTGAAACAGAAACGTTGGGACAAAAGGAGCATCAAATATAGGAAGTACTCAATTACATTTAGCCAATGGTTTATACCTTTTCTGTATGTTAAAGCCATCAGTAATGTTTTTTCAGAAGAAAAATGAATGACTTGACTTTTGTTCAGACTACAGGCTTAGTGTAAGGGTCAGGCTGTGATGCTGTGACACAGTGACTGCTCAAAGTCTGCCACAGAGGGTTTGTGTCAGGGGCAGGAGCAGATTCACATTGTCTTTTAGCAGTGCCAGACATATTTTTTTTTAAGAGAACTTTAGCTTTTAAGTGTCCTGCAAATGCAAGTCCTCTGAAAAATAAATATACATCTTTGGAAAGTGACTGGAAAGATGCTTATGAGAGCTGGGAAAGATGCTCAGTATCAATCTGTACTTTCCTCTTTAAGTGTTTCTGAGGCACGTCTTCACCTGCAATTAACTCACATGGCATATGAAGATACACTCCTCTGTGCTTAACCTTTAAACAAAATTTCTGTGATTATTGGCCTTCATTCCCAGCGTGACTGTGAGAAATGAGCAGGGCAGATGGGAGCAGGCGTTCCCAGTTGATGCTACAGAACACTTCTGTGATGATTTAAATCCGTGTTAAACAATAGCTTGTTCACATTCAATTGCAGAGCATCCCAAGATGCCGTATGAGGCAGGGAAGAGAACCAAAATTGCTTTTGCGGAGATGCTAGGCGTAATTAAAGGCTCATGTCTGGATCTTACAGCTAACAAACTGCTGTACAACAAGGGAAGTGGCTCCCTAAGTAGCTTTCTGCAAAACACTAAATATAGTGCTGTAACAATAAAACCTAACCATCCAGCTGCCAAATGTATTGTGCGCATGTGGTACCGTGGACATCATGTCTGCCCTCTCCCCTCAAATCCATCCCCTTCTGCTGTTGGAAAATAGCAAAAGTTCTGTCAAGAGCCACTGAGAAGTTTAATAAAAATAAATTGGAGCTGCTTAATCCACTTCTGCAATCTGGCTGCACTTATTCTGAAAATCAGGACCGCTCCTTCGGCAAAGTGCAGAGTGAAGTGAGAGGCTGTGAGGACAGCCTCGCAGAAGGGCAGAAAAAAGGCCTCTCACTGTCTCCCCTTTTGACATGACAGATAAAGGCAAATGTGTGAAGGTCTTAAAGCCCCACTGCAGAGCAGGAAGAGGAAAACAAATGGCACCGCACCATATGCCCATAATCCCAACTAAAAGGCATTCAAATTCATTTCTCCTGAGCTTCCCTTTTACACACCAGTGAACAAGCATGTTTGACAACACAGTGTGGGAGTTTCCAGTTCACTGAGCGGGTTTCCTTCACCTTCGCTCAGGCTTCCACCTGAACGTCCTGCTCCCAGCAACAAATGGATCCCAGGGGGGCAGGTGGAAATGGGAGCCCCCAGGCTCTGCGCCTCACACAGGGGGCTCCGGGAGGAACAAACTGGAAAACTGGATGCAGGTTGAAGTGAAAGTGCTGGGCCTGGCAGGAAAGCAATGCCCTCAGGCCCTCTCTGCCACCATGCTGAGCTCGCTGCCTTTGCTGGGCCCAGAGCTTGCCATGTGTGAGGAATGCGCCCAGGGAAGCGCCTTGCAGGTTAGTGGGACCAGTGGCCTTCGGTAGGCTGGAGCAGTTGGCCAGAGCAGCAGGCACAACAACTGAGGTGATGCCAACCGATGCCGGAAGAAGGGGGCGAGAGTAAATTGCTGCAGGATGCTTGGGAGACTGGAAAATGCCTCGGAGCCAGCGGGGCCATGAGCGTGTGAGTGGAAGGCAGCATGGGCTGCTCATTAGAGCCTGAGCACATTGAGAGCGGGAGAGGATGCTCGCATGGCAAATCAATTTGCAGGCATCAAATTGATTTAAAAAAATGCAAAAGGATGCACTCACCATTATAAATCGAATAGGAAGAGCAGCGGATAAACATGGTCTATGGTTCATAAAACCACAGTTAGATAGAGAGTGGAACCTTTATCTCAGGCAAGACAGCAGGCAGTGTGCCCTTATGCCTCATCTGCAGCTTTTCACATTTCTATTTTTCACATTTCCAACGCCAAACTAATTATTTTCCTCCAAAGGTCCTTTCCACTCCTCTTCATCCTTCTGTTGACATAAAAGCTATTGACTGGACCTATAATCACAGCATTGCTTTTCAGTATTTGACTCTTGTTCAAATCCTTTTTTCTCCTTTGTAGCACCTCTGAGATCTCAACCAAGGATCCAAAACACTTGCTTATAACTTCAGTCTCCAGGTTTTGGGTTTCACATCCCCCTCCTTACCATCCTTTTCACACCTCCATCCTACTGCTTCCTACACAGAGTACAGCTGCCAGGTTGATGATACAGATGCAGAGATAAAATCCAATTCTCCAGAGCTGCCTTAGTAACACTATTTTAGCGCACAGTTCCAGATACTTTTCACTGTATGCATTTTCTCTGTGCTTTTAGGTTCACCACGTTGCCTCTTGCCTCTTGAGCAGGTGCAGCACCCAAGAGCTGTAGCAGGGTGTTATTCTCCACCCTCACTCACATCACAGGAGTGAGAGTACTCAGAGTGAGCACCAAACCAGGTGTTTGACAGATGTTAAGTCAAGCAAGATGGTACCCTAAAAGTGGTAGGAAATAGGCTATCATGGACCAGGATCAGTTCTTCCATTACCCGCAAGCTTCACTTCTCCCTGCACTACAAATCTCCTTGACCCTGTTTGTAACTCCTCAGTATCTCATAGCATCCTCATGCGCTTTTCAGTGCTCAGATCTCTTCTGTGTCCTTGCTCCACTCTGTGTCCATGCTGAGCCTCACTCCCACTGTGTCTGCTTTCTGTCCTACCTGGGCCATCCTCCCTGATGGCTTTCAGTGAGCTGAACAAGCGTCTTCTGCACCAGTTCAATCCCATCAGATTTTCATACTATTCTTGATGATAAAAATCTGTAGGAAAGATCCAGAGAGGGTGTCGTTCTCTGAAAAAAAGCTGAAGATTTCCTGAAAATTTCATCCTGAAATGTGCACCAAGAATGGAAAAGTAACTTAAGGCATTTTAAGTTCAAGAAATTTATGGGAACCACTTCTTACAAAAAGAAATGTAGGAAGTAATGGCTACCACCCAGTCTGTGGTTTAAGTTTATTGTAGGAGTTCTTGCCTACTGTTTTCCTAACCAGGAGTAAGGCTCCCAAATGAGCTAATTCTCTATGTCAAGCCATACTAGTTCTGTATAAACTGCAATATTTACTTAAAATCCTCTTGCAGACAATGTAGTGATGCAAACTCTGTCCCACAGCGGCTGCTCTCAATGTCATTATTATACATCTCATTATCCCAAGACAGCTGGCAAAAATGAGCTGGGTAATTTACACACAACTTTGAAACTGTTCCTACATTTTGAGCTGTGTCAGCAGCCGTGACTTCTTCACAGCCTCTTGAATGGGCAGCTACCAAGCAGTGTGAGAGATAGAAAGGAGTGAGAGCCAGATCCATTCCCCCTATGCTGTGGTTGTGCTCCTTCCTGGTCACTTCTTGCTGTGTGCCTGCGCTGTGTGAGGTGATCCTCAGAGGAAGTGGGGATCTGCAGGGAGGCACCACATTCTGAGGTTGCCTAATGCTGCTCAGTTTGACAGGCCCATTGTTTGTACAACACTAATACCAAACTGATGCTTTTGGGAAACTCCACCCATGAGCGATCTGGAAAAGTTCCTTGTATGCCCAATGAGACTTCAGCCAAATGCACTAATTGTGGCTGCAAAATATTGTTTTAAAGGAAAAGGATGGGAGAGAAGAGAATGTGAAAACAGAGAGAGGAAGAGATAAGCAAAGAGGCGACGGGCTACAGCAGGACAGGCAATATGGGAAGGGGCAAAGCATTCGTGCAGAAGGAGGCAGAGGCTGTGGGTGCATCGGGAAGACTATTCAACCTAGTTATCAGAGGTGGTACAACAACAGAATGGGGTTCACGTTTGTCTTCTCCCTATCTTTGGCCACATTCAGCATCTGTTGGCTTTGCCTCTTCCACTCAAACCCCAAGCACTTTGAGCCTTTTTCGTAGAGGTTTTGGGGTCTGGCAGAGCTCACATCACCTTGAAAACTGCACTGCAACACATGGCTTTCTTTTTCCAGTTTTTCTACAGCTCCTGACCACCTCTGACAGGCTGGCACTGGTGGCTGCACTAGCCTTTGGGACAATCCAATTTCTAATGTAATGGGTTTCCTGATTGAGAAAATATCATTAAATCTGAGAGATCTGGGAAAATGAGATACTCTAATGAGTTCTAAAATGCTGCTTATAGACAGATTCTCCAGCATGGTAACACCAAAACTAAATTCCAGAGTTCAACTCACCAGATCTTCTCAATTTTGACCAAATGCTTCTTCTTAGTCAGCTGCTTTCCAAGGCCAAGTTAACCCAAGTACACAGACACTGATAAAACCTATGGTCTGGCAGGAAAAAAAAGAAGAAAAAAAAAACCTATAGGAGCTTGACAGAAAGAAGTGTTGAGCCTGGAGTACAAGGGGAGCTAAAGTAGATTGCCTGTAACCTGAGCTCAGAGGTAGAAGAGAATTTGCTTCATCTTTGAAGCCTAAGATCCTGGGCACACTTCTGCACAGGGTTCTGCTTGCGGATAACCACAGTGTAAAGAAAAACCTAAAACAACCACGGAGGGGGCACAGGCTGAAGTGCAAGGAAGTATCCCTGTCTCCAATAAAAACGGGGCAGATAAAGCAGGAAGCAGCAGCAGAGCTAATGCACAAGCAGCTGGCCACTGAGGTGGATTTCCAGAGTAAATCTGGTGCCTGAGGTCCCAGGAAACCACCTGTTGTCCACCATGATGACCAGCAGCTGCAAGTGTCCAGAAGCCATGTGGGGGGTAGATGCCGCCTCTGTATCAGAGACCAGGCTGGGAGAAGCAAGTGAGGGAGACAGTGCTGGAAGGCACTGCTGCTTCAGAGAGACTGTGATGCAATTAAGTGTTTCAGAAAATAGCGAGGAGGAGATTATACTGTCACCAGGAGTTCTCCAGGAAACACTCAGAAATGAAGCTCAACATGGCATGGAAAATATTTAACTTCCAGGGGCAGCTTAGCCTCCATCAGGGAGGAAAACTATTCCGGTTCTCCTGTATAACAAACCAAGATGTGCTGTGCGATGTCATCATTATTAAAAACAACAGAAAACTAATTCTGAACAATTGGAAAAAGGCACGCAGGGCTGGTTTATATTTCTTCCAAAACCTTTTCCCTCTAATTTCAAAAGAGAGGAAAAAAAGAAAAACAAGTAACCAGAAAGAATTCCAGGTTGAGTCCCGAGCCGTCCCAGAGCCGCGGAGCCTGGAGAGCAGCCAGGCAGGCTGGCAGGAAGTCAGGCAGGACAGTGATGGAAACCTGCCTGGCCTGCAGCGGAAGCTCACCCAAACAGATGTGCTTCTGTGAAATATTTTGCTTACGACAAATCAGCATCCTCTGACAAAAACCTGTTCTGTTGGAAATCTCCCAGCACTGTTTATTATGGCATTGCTCTTCCTCCAATAATAAATAAAATGAAAGTGGGTGTGCGATGGCTAATGCTGATGGGCCAAATTATATATATTTTTGTCAGTGATTCTTTGTGTGGAACAAATCTTAAAAATCTGACCTCGGGCATTTCGGTCTGGTTCTGTTTTCACAGTGAGGGCTGAAGGCTCAGCTTTGTTATTCTACAAGTTAAACAAACATAAATGGAATTGTGAGACACTGGGTGAGAGTAGGAAGATCTTACTGCATCCATAATGTCTTCCACACCAACATTTTTCAAATAGTGCAGATTGCTAGCTTTGTATTGTTCCCCATTCCTCCCAAATCCATTACACAGAAAAACATGGCAATTCCCTCCCCAGTATTCAGGTTATGTAACAAGGGCATAACGCTCCCTTTGAAATGATTAACTTGATCATTTAGAGAAGTGAGA